CACTTAATTATTCACATAAACAGAAAACAACAAACAAAAGAAGAAATTAAAAAACAAAAGGAAAAAGATTGGGAGGATGCAGCTCAAACCCTCACATACACATTTATGCACAAAAGAAAAACATTTAAAAAACAGATGAACTAACAAACAGGCAAAAAATTAAAAAAATTTTTTTTAATTAAAAAAATCTGCTCTCTTATGGCAGCCTCTGTAATTGTTCCTCTAATCTGGTCTCTTCTGCAGAACCTCCACCTCTTTCACCGTCTCCCCAGTGTCCGGAGCAGGGAGGGAGGAGGGGCAGTGGAGGTACGTAGGGCTGCAGTTGTTCCTCCCACTCTCATATGGCTGGGGAGATCTCCTCCAGTGGGGAGGTCCGGGATTGTCTCTCCCCCAGGTATGTACTCATGATGGGGGGGGTGCCCCAGTCAGGCCTATCCTGGAATGGAGTTCTCCTACTTCAACTGACGTCCAGGTTCCACCCGGATTTGTCCCTGTTAGTCGTGGCCCAGCTGTGTGGGTCTGATGGGGGTATGAGTCAGACCAGGGCTCATCAATGGTCTCCTTGGAGTCCTTCCTCATCCTTTTCTGACCATACCCTTTGTTCCATGGCTCAATCAGGGTAGGGGGTAGGGTGCCTAGAATCAGCACTCATCAGGTCCCTTTCAGGATATTCCCTCTGAGTCATGATCAACCCTGAGTAGTTGATCTGCCAGTCACAGAGATTGGGTCTGTTGCCCTGCCTTCAAGATGGTGGTGGGGTGCCTCTCTTATCCTTTTCTCTGGGACTCTGCCTCTAGACTCTGTCCACAGTCCCTGCTGCCAGTGCCTGGCCAGGCGCTGAAGTGGTGAGGTAAAGTCTGGAGCCAGCAGTCTCTCCTGCTGCAGTGGTGAAGCAGAGTCTGGGGTGGCAGTCTCTTCTCACCACTTCTTCACAGGAAAACTTTTGTCCATTTTTTAAAAATGGTGCTCAGCATCTGTGACCTATGAAGAGCTAGGGACCTAGCAGAGAAGTTGCAGCACCAGCTGTTGCACTAGGGCCCTGGCCACTTGCTCACAAGCCCCCACTTAGTTAGTCTCTCCCAGCATTTTCTTCCCAGGAAGGGTTTTGTTTTTTTTAAAAATGACACTCGGCTTCCATGTCTCAGGAATCACCAGGGTCCAAGTCCCGCAGCTGTGGCACCAGCCGCGGCACCAGGAGATCCTTGGCCCCCCGTCCCCTGAGTCTTATGAAAGGGGCCCAAGAGCATCCCTAACATAGTTTTCATGTACCTGAAAAAGGAGACTGAGGTCACCATCCCCAGCTGGGAATCTTCCCAGTAACTGGTGTGTTGACTTACCCCATTGCTTCCAGAGCCAGGAGAGAACCTGGAAGAAGATGGGTGGTAGGACGGCCAGGTTGGGAATGGGCGAAGGCTACATGCTCCAGGTTAGCAAGAGGTACAGCAAGGGCTCGCCTTCCTACAGACTCCACTTCTGGGCTGTGACAGGCAGGTGAATTGAAAGCTCAGGCAGATTAATGAAATACTGCCATTTGGGTGAAGAAACATACATCAAAAGCCACCACTAGAAGGCCAGCTAAAGACTGTTGGCCACATGTCCAAGGGACTGGCCAGACCTTGGGGGACACTCATGATGAAAACTTCTACAGTCATGTCCTGCTGGGTATTCACATGTCCACACTGAGTGACACCCTTAGGAGCCAGGCCATACTGGGTCTTCACCTGTCCATACTGAAAGACACTAACGATGGGTCCTCAGAAGCCTAGTCATGCTGTGTCTTCACCTATCCACACCGAGAGATGCTCACATGAAGGCCCTCGGCAGCCAGGCTGTGCTGGGTCTTTGTCTGTCCATACCAAGAGTAGCTCACAGTGGGCCCTCAGGAGCCAGGCCATGCTTGGTCTTCACCTGTCCACACTGAGAGATGCTCACATGAAAGTCCTCAGGAACCAGGATGTGCTGGGGTCTTCACCTGTCCACACTGAGAGATGCTCACATGAAAGCCTTCAGGAGCCAGGCCATGCTGGGGTCTTCACCTGTCCACACTGAGAGATGCTCACATGAAGGCCCTCAGGAGCCAGGCTGTCCGGGGGTCTTTACTTGTCCATACTGAGAGACACTCATGATGGGCCCTTAGCAGCCAGGCCATGCTGGATCTTCACCTGTCCATACTAAGAGAAGCTCATGATGGGTTCTGAGCAGCTAGGCAACGCTTCTTCACAGGACATCTTCACCTTTCCACACTGAGAGACACTCACTTGAAGGGCCTCAGCAGCTAGGCCATGCTGGATCTTCACCTGTCCATGCTGAGATACACTCAACATGGACCCTCAGCAGTCAGGCTATGCTGGGTCTTTACATGTTCGCACTGAGAGTCACTCATAATGGGCCCTCAGCAGCCAGGCCATACTGGGAACTTCACCTATCCACAGAGTCAGCCTGAGTATGTCACCTGTTCACAGTAGGTCACAAGCTGGGCTAGTTGTGATAACCTGCAGGAAGGGCAGCAGGCATGGCTGACATGAGGCTGAGGTCTTATCACCACTGACAGCAGGAACAGCCAGCTGTGCAGGTCATCGAGAGCATGAACTGTCTTCTCATGCACCCTCTCTCTCCATTTCTGAACTTCCCGCCATCCCTCCCTTTCTCTTGCCCTTCATACTGCTGCCCTTGTCCCACTGCAGGCAATCAGTACAGGAAGGAGAAACATAGAGTGGAGAGCACTCCCTACACCCTCTATTGGAGGGCATTCCCCACACCCCCCTATTGCAGATCATTCCCCGCACTGGCCCATTAGAGAGCTGCCCCTGTACCCAACCCTCTGCACTGGAGAACCACCCTTGTTGCCCATGGGAAAGTGGTCTCCTCTCTCCCCCATGGGAGAGCAGTCCCCACACCCTCCCCCACTCCTCCACTGGAGAGCCTTCCCTGCACCACCCCATTGGAGAGCAGTCCATACATCCCTACCATGGGGAAGTAGTTCCCACACACCCGCCATTGGAATCTCGGGTTCCTTCACATTGTGGGCAGAGGAGAGCTCAAAGTAGAACATGGGGTGGAGGCTTTGAAACAGGTACAGCTAAGTCTCCATAGACAAAACTACCTCAACAAAAAGTAACTGGAAAATTCTGGAATTAGACCGAAAGGTAAATAAGGGAGCCTCTCACAGTAACAAAGGGGCTTTAGCCAAGCACAGTAGGTAGCAGGTAACAAAGCAAACAACTATTTCATGTTTATACCTCAAGGAACTGAGACATCTCAATTAAGTCAGTTATAATAATAATCGCATTTACATCCTATTTTCAACCTCAGATTTTTCTCTTAGCAAAGTATACCTCTAAAATAACCTTTATCGGGAACTCTTAAGAATGAAAGTGATAACCTTGGGCAACAAGCAACTAATCCAGTGGACTCTATTGCAGGATCATTTCTTCAGACATCCTGAGTGAATATGGACTTACATTTCTTTTCAAAGCTTTAAAAGAACTTTCAAGGAGTAGGAGCCAAAAGTTGACTTGAATACTAACATACTGGATGAGAAAACATCCAGCAGATGAGAAAGACAATCAAATTTTCTAAGAAGAGTAGATGAAGCATCACTTTCCCCCCAAAACACCTGCTTATTTAAAAATGAAGACAAGTAATGTTGCTTTGTTTGTTTTTAATTCAATAGTTTTATAGAATCAAAAATCTGACGCCTTTATTTACTAGGCCTAGCAGGGCTGCCCCTTTCCAGTCACTGAATTATCTGTAAAATTCCTTAGCAATATGGGATTTGAAGAGCATTTTGATCAAACATCAAAAAGAGAACTTTTTATTTTTAAAATTATATTGACTAAGAGAATACAAGCACCTATTTTTTGCTTTCATGGATAACAAAAACATTTCTTTTCTTTTCTTTCTTTTTTAACAAAAACATTTCTACTTCATCTCTTTAAAATGAAAATGCAATGTTATAAGGGTTGGCACTGTTGTAAGGAAGCTATATATGAAAGACTAATTTATAAAAAGAAATTAATTAGAGATGATTATTATAAAATGACTCACTTCTAGGTTCTTTAAACATGGAATTAACTCCAGTATGATTAATTTTATAGAAGTTTGGCTTATACAGAGATTTGTTTCAAATATTATTACATCAAGTGAGGTAAACATTAAATAAATAAGCCATGTCATATTTGTGAATATTAAACCATATAGTTGTTAATACAGTATTATCTATATTTAGAATTATAGTAAAAACTGACATTTAAATAATAAAAATATGTATATTTCTATTTCAGGGTAGGAAGTTTTTAAGATAATATTTGTCCTATACACAGTATTGTATTTGGTCAAAATACCAATACAGGAGTTTACGCTCATTTAATGATGCAATTTAATAGCTAGAATTTTTTCTGTTTTAGTCTCAACTTCAATGACATACAAACTATGCTTTACAGGCAGTAAGTAAATGACTTCTGAATTGAACAAAAACCATACTTTTTTCAGTGTTACTGTTTTTTTATTAAATTCCCTCCTTAGTTTAAATTACAAATTCTCTTCCATAGTATTTGTATTTCTTTAATGTCTTTATTGTATTTTGTTTGCAATTATTGGACCCTTCAGATCCACTTATCTTTTCAACTTACCTTTTTTCTAGGTCCCTACCAGAGAAACATTGACCAAGTGGCTGGCATGCTGCCATGTTTCAACACAGTGGAATCCGTGGGTCACAGCCATGGTGACCTCCTACCAGAGAATCAGGTGAGAGCCCTTGACAGGACCAAATGTCACCAGATAATGCAAATTCACTTTGGACCTCAAGGAATCATCAGGGCAAAATGTCTATTTTAGCTTTTGACATTTCTTGCTCCTGGCATTCTAAAAGGGCAGCTGAAAAGAAAGTGTGTATGGGAAATAGACACTGTCTTATAGGAAGTAATCATAGCTTCTATGGATTTTTGAAAACAGAAATCATGTCCCTTCAACAAGATGATCACATGAAGACATCTTCTTACCTGTATGACAGTTTTCATGATGTCTCTCCATGTTTTATCCACAGCTGTGAACCGCCGGCCTTCCTCAGGCATCTGGGACATGATGTCTGGTGAGCTGAAGATGGGCTCCAGGTACAGCCAAGTGGCCTGGACCTTGAGCCACTCATCCAGGATCTCCTGAAGCAGCAGGAGCTTGCCCTCCCAGTCCCTAGGAGCAAACACAGCAGCTCTCACTTCCTGCAGACCAAGCAGGACTCCAGACAATACTCAGAACCACAACCATACTGTCAACCTTGCCTACAGTGCTGTTTTGATTCCATCCATCTAGTTTCATTTAAAGATAAACCAGGGCAACCCCTTCAGGTCCCCTCCCACTGTGGGAGCTTTTCTGTTCTCTCAATAAATCCTGCTTTCTAAAAATAAATAAATAAATAAAGATAAATCATTACATCTGTTCTACAAAATTTGTCTAAAAATAACATCTATGGCCAGGTTTGATGGCTCAGCCTGTAATCCCAGTGCTTTGGGAGGCTGAGGTGAGTGGATTGCCTAAGCCCGTGGGTTCGAGACCTACCTGGACAACTTGGCGAGACCTCATCTCTACAATAAATCAAAAATCAGCTGGGCGTGGTAGCATGCGCCTGTAGTTCCAGCTACTTGGAAGGCTGAGGCGGAAGGATCGCCAGAACCCAACAGGTCGAGGCTGCGGTGGCCAGGAGCCACCACTGCACTACAGTCTGGGTGACAGAGTGAGATTCCAACTCAAAAAAATAATAATAATAACGTCTATGCTTACACAGATGTACATGTGAAGGCATACTTATTTCCAGATGGACTGGTTTCCGTATATGTCATTAACACTCACCCTTTCTGCAACCCAGCTCCATGGCAAGAGCTATAGGTACAAGTTGAAAAATGAGATTTTGGAGACAGTAAAAGTATTCCCAATGAAGGGTACTCTGAGCTTCTGAGGAAAGGTAGTTACATCCAAGATTCCTTTCCTTTAACACTCTTTTTTTGTTTGTTTCTTAATTGGGACCCATAGAGACTTTATTTCAGAATAAAATATAATTGTCCCTTGAACAGCATTACTCCACAAACTGACAACTTTACAAGCATGGTTCTAAGGTCTCTTTTATATTTACTCCATCATCACACCAACCCTATCAGGCAGGGTCGTCTGTAACATCTATTCATTAGTGGGCAACTCAGGCACATGGAGGCAAGTGCCAGGCTGAAGTTCAGCCAGACAACGAGCAACAGAGCCAAGCTTTGAACCCAGAAAGCTGCAACCATTCTGCCATCAGAGACACCAGAAGCCATAAAGAAGAGTGACTGATTGATAGCAATAGAACCTAGAGGTCAGATAGCTTATGTTCATATTAATGCTTACTCAACATTTAGAAGTGGTGATCTGTAATTTCAGATTTTTAAAACAAAGAAATGTTAATAGAAGTTCTCCAAGTCACCAGACATTTTCAAATGCCTTTCCAAAATATTTTTCTTTCAGTGTTTGCCAATGAATTTGTTTAGCCTCTTTGCATAAGAAGACACAATGCCTCTGCTTCCTGCTGGCGCCCTCCCCTCTCCTACTATGTAATTCCTGTCTTGTGCAGATGTCCCATTTGTCAATAAGACCATGTACAGTCTCTGAAAATAAATCTAGATCTACCTAGCTCAGAGCAGCTCACAGATCCTTCTCTGGATTTGCACATTGCAGATAGCAGCAGAACAAATAAACACAGACCCAAGTCAAGGTCCATCAGTTTATGATAGCAGGTCAGTACAGGGGAAGCACTGCCCAGTGGTTACTCTCCCTGAAGACAGTGTCTAATTTGAAGGGACTTGGTTTTTTAGGTAAAATATAAACTGATTAATATAAGTTACAAAAATTGAAAACACAGGGTAAAGCTTTAATTGGCTGTGTATGATACTTAAAACTCCAAATTAAAATTGTGGTTTCATTCCTTTTCACTTATATAGATGTTTAGGGATCACCTACAACAAACTAATTAGTATGTTTTTTTAAATGATATTATTATCTTCAGTTTTGTAGTTTATGCATTCTATAAATAATGGTTACAGACACAAAATTATTTTTGAGTCAAAAAATAAGATCGAATTGGAAGCAAAAAAATTAATATCCAGGTGTCAATTCATTATGAAATTGGAAGTTAACAAACCATCAAAATGATAGCAAAGGACCTGTGTGCTTCCTGCAGCAAGGGAGGGTACCACTCCTTACAATAAACAGGATAAAATATTAAGAATGAAATGCAGAATCCATTCTCAAAAGAACTTTACATTAATTACAAGTGACTTTGGTAACATACTACAAACCCTGTCATAGAAATGCCACTTTACCTCATTTGCTTTTCATAAGGCTTAATGAAAGGAGAGCCCCGCATGGTTTGTGTTTTGACAATGTGGTCGTCCAACAACATCTGAATCTCATCAACTGATGACAGAATAAATGTCCCAGTTTCTCTGTAAGAATGAATGACAAATTCCATTGCATCCCACTCAGCAATCATCTTCTCCAAGGCCTTTTCGAGAGAGTATTCCTTGCTAGCTGCTTCACCAATGCCTTCGAGTTTGTCCAAGTAGGGCTCCAGGTTCATGTCCAGGAAGGAGAAGACAGTGGAGTCCTCGGCTGGCTGCAAGGGGTACCCGACTATGGTGGACATGGCCTCCCAGTGCCGGGGGCGCAGACCAGGGTTGCAGATCACCTGGATGAGTGGGATGTGCTGCCTGAACTCCTCCACCCTGGCTCTCACCTTCTTGGTCATGGCCAGTGCTTGTGGAGCATCATGGAAGGTCTTCTCCAGCTTATACAGTCCTCTCCAGTAGTTCCCCACATCGGTTTCTACTTGGTCTGGATTCACCTTGTGATATGGCCCTTCTGTCCATGTTCTGTACTTGTTGCTAAATTCAACAGCAGTTTCATAGAGACGAAGGTAAGGGTTTAAACCATCTTGGATTTTTTTACGTTGAGGATATATTGATAGTAGCCAACCAAATGCCTCCTCTTCAGCATTAAACTGCTCAATCTGAAAGGATGGGTATTAAATATATCAGCTAATCGGAAGTGAATGATATTGAAAACTAAGTTTTTAAAAATATCTATTTTAAATGTGACCCCCAAAAAACCCTCATTAAGTCCTAATGTTAAATTTCAATAATCTTGAAAAACAGCAATAATTTCCTTTTTAAATTATTTATTTTATTTATTTATGGTGTGCAGTATAATATTTGAAACATGTGTACATTGGGTAAATAAAATGAATTGAGTAATAAAATGAATTACCTCACACATATTTTTTTGTAGTAAGAACACTAAAAAATCTACTCTCTTAGCAACTTTCATGTATAGAATAAGTTGTTCTTAGCTACACTCACCGAGTTGAACGATGGATGCCCTAAATGTATTCTTCCTGTCTAACTAAAATGTTTCATCTTTTGACCAGCTTCTTCTCCAATCCCTGCTGCTCCATATCCCCTGCCCCCACTGTGGGCCCCATTCTACCCTCTGCTGCTATGAGTTTGACTCTCAGACTCCCCACAGAAGTGAAATCAAATGGTGTCTATTTTTCTGTGAGTGGCTCGTTTGACTTAACATGATGCCTTCCATATTTACCCATTTTGTCACAAAGAACAGAATTTCCTTTGTTGTTTTTTCTTTTTAAAGCTGAATAGTAGTTCCCTATTTCTTTATTATGGTTTTCAGAGAAGATTGGTTAAGTTAAAGTAGTTAATATAAACTTACGTATATAAGTAAGTTTTTGCCTGTATCCTTGTTGAGGATATAGCATCATTCATTGATTAACAAGAGCTTTTGTGCTAAGTAACACAGAAAATAGGGAAAAGGTATTAAATTCAAAAGTACCGACTACAAGAACTAGTGATCCAGCTCAGGCAAAAGGACATACATGGGTGGAAATTTAAATACTAATAGTTCAATAGCAGTACAAGGCAGTGGAAGAGATCTCAGAGCAGGAACTGTTTAACATAAAGTGAATAAAGTACACACTACAGTTAGTGCTCAGAGGGGGTTCCAATGCTGAACCAGTGCAGTCACAGAGGCTTCACAGAGAGGATGCAGCTGGAGCTCGGCCTTGGAGATAGGCAGGAAGGAGAGCCTAAGACTATTCTTTTCCCCTTAGCTGAACTGTGAAATACTTGAGGATGGGGATAGCGCCAAGGGGAAATCTACAGAACTGGAAAGTGTGAGCTGGATATGTCCATTATGCAGTTACTTAAATCTCAGTGGCCTCAGTGGCCTCAGTTAAGACAGCTACATTCATTTCCTTTTTTTCAATGTGTGTTGACATATTTGTGATTATTAGAAACCATTTAATTACTTGCACAGATAAGATATTAAAATCTTTCCATGTAAGAAAAATGATGAATCATAATATAGTATATTTTTATACTTCCCCTTCTCATAAAAATTACAATGAAAATCTTTAGACACCTTTATGGCAAAGGGCAGAGCTCTCCTTCCCCAGCTTCTCTTGCACATGCTGATTTGTCAAACAGCGCTGCTGGGAACAAGTGGCGTGGTGAGAGAGAGCAGGCCTGACTTGAACACAACACCACGCTTGCTGCCTTGACGGAGATGGAGAAACGCAGTGGCGCCAGACACCATCCTTCGCCAGCTTTGGTTAGAAAATGTGGGTCCCCAACTGTCACAGCAGAACTACGGTGCAAGTGACTAGATGATGCAGGGTAAAAACTAAACAACAACCTGAGCTGTAACTCCATCTTTAAAATAGAAGACGAAGGCCATGGAAATGTACCACAACCAGCAGAAGACAGCCGCACAGCCACACTGCCTCGAAGGCCACAGAAGCATGCCATGACCAGCAGGACACAGCTGTACTGCTCCTCCCTGAGGCAGGTCTGTAAGATCTGTTGGTGTCATTCCTATTATTCTCTAATTGAGTGTAGTCAAACTGTTTTATACGAATATTTCTTAAAAGGTCTTAATACAAATTCAACATGTTGCCATTTGAATTAATTTATCTTTTTAAGAATCTTTCAATTATACCTTTTCTGCTGCTAAATCCAACTTTGCATTCAGTGTTTGTGCCTTTTTCAGGTACCGATGTATGTCCTGAAGATCTCCAAATGAATAAAACTCCTCTGCCTGCTTGGCATAACTCTCTAGTTCCTCCACAAACCGGTCACACCGTAACTATTAAGACAATATTTGTTGTTACTATTTTTAAAAGTTAAAAACCCCTTGATGTCAAAAAATTTGAAGTATTTGTAAGAATTATCAAAATTATTTTTATTATATTCTGTCACTGGTGAAACAAAGAAAGATGTGATATGGAAGATGACTGAGATCTAAAATTGCAGAATTTTTAAAATTAAAATTAATGGATTAAGATTCCTCTAATTCACAGGTTAGAAAAAGTTTACTCAGTACTATCTATAAAAGAAGCTATAACTAACAAAATGAATAAAAATATGTTAACTGGTGGTATCCTTTAGTATGCTGAAGAATTTAGGCTAACACATAGTTTACGAGCATTTGAAAAATCTCATAATAATCAAGTATGGGACTAAAAAAAAACCTCCAAATTTTTTAAAGCTGAGGAGATATCTGGCATTTTTATAAACAACTGGAAAAAAACTGAATTTCTTTATTTGTGCTCTGATACTCAGACATTACTTCAATTAGCAACAGTGAAACAGGATATTCCAAGGTTATTTTTCTTGCCCCATGGGATCTCCTCACAATAAATAAATAAAGTATATACAACAAATAAATTCATATTTAATTATATATTCAACTATAGTATTCCAGTAACACAGGTGTGTGTTTTAGTAAGAAAGGCATATTACAAAATTGCTATTGGTAAGGCATTCCAAAGTAAATGAATCTAAAAAAATAGATCCTGATAAAATATTCAAAATTAAATCTAGGTTATTCAAAAATAGGTTTTCTATTTTGAAGGTGATCTAGGTCCATTTCTGTCCTATTTTCACTAGTTTCTTGGCAAATGTATTTTTCTGACCTAGGAGTGGAAGGAAAATGAGAGAAAAAATTCATCAACATTATGTGTAGTTTGTGGAATAGTATACTTTGCAACAGAGTATAAACAGTTCCTGGCCACCTAGCAATTTTCTATGGACCTATTACATTGTAACTTAAGCATCTAATATTTAACTATTCATGATGTTTTCTACAAGTTTTAAAAATATGTGAATGGCCTGAAATATAAACTATAGTTTAAAATGAAGAGCTTTATTTAAGCCTATGAATTATTATCCAAACAACATATTCTGCCAATCAACTATATTTGCTGTAGTGTAGTAGAAAGAGGAAGAGATTTTCTATCAAAGGACATCACTACTGGCTGACCTGGAACAAGTCTCTTAATCTCTGGGAACGTTAGCTTTTTCATCTGTAAAATGAGAGTGAAATATTAAATCATTCATCCAGATAGTATCTATGATGTGCTACAGTATTCCTGTGTGTCAGTAACTGTGCCAGGCAGTAGGATACAAATGGAAAAAAGTAAAAATGAAGACTGGGTGCAGTTGCTCATGGCTGTAATCCCAGCACTTTGGGAAGCCAAAGCAGGAGGATCACTAAAGCCAGGAGTCTGAGACTAGTCTAGGCAACATAGTGAGACTTTGTCTCTACAAAAAATCAAAAAACTAGCTGTGCGTGGTAGCATACCTGTAATCCCAGCCACTCAGGAGGAGAGAGGCCGGCACTGAACTGGACTGGCAAGTCATAAACCATTGGACACACACAACTGGAAAACCCACACTGGCCTTGGTGACTGTGGCACAATGGTACTGGGTGTGGGTTCAGGGGAGCATGAGAGACTAGGAGGGAGTCTCACCTGGGAGCCTTGACATTCAAACTATGAAAAAGACTGAGGAGTACTATCAACTATAGAAGATAAGTACTGTTTGTATTAACAGCCACTTGTGGGCAATATATTCCAGTGTTTTCTTCTTATTACCATGAAAGATCAAGAAATGACATGACGATCAATGTGCTACCAACTTGCTCCTTAATCATCCAATAAGCACTAGGAGAAATCCACTATGGGCAGTCCCTTCTACTAAGATTGACAGAGTGAGAAAGCTAAAATAGATGTACAGTCTGTGAAATAAGGCATGGACAATGCTATGTAAAAAGTTAAATATTTCCAGAAAATAAAAATAATTAAAAATATCTAAGATGCCCACCTTCAGACCTTCTTGATATTGTTCTGTTTTCTCTTTAATAATTTTCCTGTGATCTTCAAAAACTTCTCCCATCCTTCCATACCATTGGAAAACATTATTATTCAACCTGATGTCTGCAGGAGAAAAGCTAGTGCACTCGATGAGGAAGGCAAGGCAGTTTTTGGAGTCCACTAACCTCTGTTCCAGTTCTAACATATCAGTTGCCTCCACTTTCTGAATGTAAGCCTGTGAGAAAACAAAAATCACGGAAGGTATTTTCATGAACAGCTCATGTCTCAAAACAGCCTGTGGAAATGCAGTGTTACTATGCACAGATAATTAGAAGTCAGGACTCTGGGCTCAAGATAAGGGACTGCAGCCTAGCTTCCTTCTCATTCCTCCCCAACACACCACTAAAACAGAAGGAAAAATAGAAAATACTCAACAATACAAAGAGCAATGGAAACCCACAGAGGAATGCTGTGGATTCTTGGGAGACAGGAAGCAGGTGCTACCCAAGTTATATCACTCGTTCTTACAGAATAACAGTTTGGACATGGACCATGTGCCTGAGATCGTGCCAGGTGATGGACAAAAACAGACACAGTCTTTGCCCTCACGAAGCTTGTCATCCAGTTGTGAAGACTAGTCAATGGCCACTGGGACAAACAAAACTGCAAACTTGCCACTGAGACAAGTGCAGCAGAGGAGAGGTTCATCATAATGCTGGGAAGCAGTGAGAGGTGCAGGGTGTTTCCCGTAGCTTGGAGCAGAGGCACAAAGGGAGGAAATGAGGAAACACATAGGAGGGCAGTTGCAGGTGAAGGGAATGTGAGCCCCTGGTGGGGTGGGGTGAGGGGGTGGGGGTGTGGGGGAGGAGGGGTGAGTATCGGGCCTGAGGGCCTGCTGTGGACAGCAGAGTGGCAGGGCAGCAAGCAGGAGGTGGAGAACGGAGGCCAGACCCCATGGGCCTTGCGAAACCCAGCCAGCATGACAAGACAATTAAAATAATAAAAGAAGTACACGTGCTCAAAATATGACACAAAACTATCCTGTTTGCACAGAAAAAACAACTGACTGAAATCTTTACTACCCAGTAAAGATTTCAGGGAGTAAGAAGAGTCCAGAATGGACAGGTACAAAAGCAACCATTTTCCTGGACATCAGCAGTCACCAAGTGTAGAGACTATTGGAAAACGTGCCATATTCTAGTAGCTATGTAAACTAAAATATAACTATGAGAAAATTTAACAAGAAATGTGTTCATTCTATTTGAAAAAAATTATAATACCTTATGGAAGAGCATTTTAAAATTTTTGAAAGAATACAAAACATGTTGTTATAACATTGTACAGATGTAAATTCTCCTCTAGTCTATAAAAATAATGCAATTTCAATGGTATTTTTAAAAACTAACTTTTATATAATTTTAAAATCCTTTAAAACAGCAAATACCACAGAGTAGCAAGGACAGTCATGAATAAGAAGGCTGATGGAGACTAGCCATGTCAAATGCCAATGCACACTACACAGATACAATGACTCAAACAATTCTTGTTCTGACCCAGGAAGAGAGGGTGAAGTAAAGCAGAGAGAATTCACAAATAGATCCACATAAACATGGGAATTTAGTGTTGAAAAGGTGTACTTCAAATCCGGAGTGAAATGACGAATCATCTAATAAATCTCATTGGTGTAATTGGCTATTGATTTTGGAAAAGAGAGCACTAGTTGTCTAGTAAGAGAAATAAGAAGAAGCATGTTGTTCAATGAATAAAGCAATTTACAGCAGGGTATTCACTCTGTTCTGCAAAAACAAACCCATGTCTGTGGGCAAGTGGGTCCACTTTCAGGTATGTGTATATACATATGGTGCACATGCACTTGAGTGTGAACATATAGCCATGTGATCCTTTCAAGTTCCTTTATATATATGTTTTTGTTTATATATTTTAATAATATAAATTTCCAAAAGAAAGCTGACCCATCAAAAAATGAGAAAACTAGCAATTACTTGTAACTATCAAAATTAACACTTTCTCCCTTGTACCTCAGCTCCCTGACAATGATGTAAACAATTAAAATTTTTTTAAAAATTTGTTTTAAGGCCTTCTTAATCTCTAATCTCCATCTCTCTTTCTCTCTCTCTCTCTCTCTCTCCATCTCTTTTTCTCTATGTCATCTTTGCATGACATACAGAAAAATAAATTTGGAAAGAGAATTAATGCCAAACTGTAAAGAATCATTAACCTAAGCGAAGAGATTATGAAAAAGGAGAAACTTTTACTCTTTTCTTTAATTCCATATTGTTAAACTTTTACTTTTATAATTAAACAGAAAAAACAAGCCCATAGCCTTGAAAGTATTCATTGATATGATGTTGTTCTGATTACATTAAATATTTTTATGTTGCAAATCCAAACCAATAAGATGTAAACCATGGTGCTTTCCACAGGTAACAAAATGTAAAACTAAAAATATATTTTTGGTAATTTAATCTGCTTTCCATCTAGTCAGACAACTGGATTTTTGTTTCTCCTTCCTAATAATAAATAACTGTTTTCTGTATTAAATAAATTTACCAGCTGTTTTGCCTATGTGGGCATAAACACTTTTTAAGATACAGAAATATTTGAAATACTAGGCAATGAATCCCACTTGCTAATTCTGTTAAAGTTTGTTATATATAGTAGAAAGTCATAGTAATTAACTCCAATTTCCTAAATATTTCCAGTGATGGCTCAGAGGATAAATAAATCTAAATATTTCCAGTGATGGCTTGGTGGACAAATAAATGACACTCTTCATGTTCAATATTCACCTTTCCAAAGGAACTTTCCTTTAATGAAGAGGAATCCAAAGCTTAAGAACCAACCACATTTATAATCATCCATAATCAAAGAATGATTTTACATGCTTTGCTGGACTCAATTAAATATTTTTAAATTTAAAAAAGGGTTTTATATTGGAGTTTGGAAATACTAGAGAATGTACTAGAAAAAAATACTAGAAAAAAGTCTTGTAAATGCTTAATTTATAAGAATGAAAGGGAATAGCACGAAATGGCAATTAACTAGTTGTTCTGCATTATTTTATTTGTCATTAGGTAGACTTCAAAGAGGTAACATGAAAAATAATGAAAGTGAGACTTACCTAATAGTTTCAGGGCTCAAATTCTGTATTCAAAATACCTTTCAGCAAACAACCACAGAAAGGTTTAATAGAAACAAAATATATACAAAAGAGGAGAAAATATTACTTAAGAATTAAATCTTTGTTGATAAAATAAGTGAAAAGTAGCCACGCATATGGGGTCGCCCAGGGCAGTCCTGGCCTGTGCCTGACAGCGTAGTAATTTAGAGCTCTCAGAAGCATGTCGACTGACAGAGGCATGAGCTGTCCTGATGCTTCTCTCTCCAGAACCCACACCCTGTGACTCGCTTGGGTCCATGAGACGTTAGCTGGTGGGGCACCAGCAGAGGTCTGAGAGGCACATGTCCAGTTGGACCTGCGCGTCTCTACCACATCTGAGAACCTGCCCAGGAGAGCCTGCTGGAGTCTAGCAACATAAGGAGCAGAGTCAGGTTGCAGGAGAACAGTTACACTAGACAGTTCAGTGAAGAGCCAGCTGGCCCAGCATGGCCCCAATTGAGACCATAAGAACTAGCCAGGAGGACCTAGCCTAAATTGCCAAACTGCAGACTCAAAAGCTAAGTATTTTTAAAGTCCTTGGTATTTTTAACCTGTCTTAACTTTTCGAGTGACATGTTACTCTGCAATATTCTGTCAACAATTAACTGTACACACACGACTATAAAGAGTCTACAAACAATACCTTCATTTCCATCAGTTCTGCTGTATTTGGAGGAGTGCTCAAAGCTTTTTCAGCTATCCTCTCAAATTCACTGCACAATCTGAAAGACCAAGCAAAACCAATATTGTGTATTTACAATTAAATTTCATTCTAAAATATATTCTGGTGCACTAGCTAAGTGTCCCATTGCTTGAAAGAGAAAGTAAACTTGAAGCTAATTTGTGTATATTTACTTATATATTCAGTACTCATCTAATGCTCACTGATTACATTTTCAACTACAAGGTTAAGGACAGGGATACAGAAAGGAGTGGATGTCACATGGCCTCAAGCACTCACTCCAGTCAGTGTGGGGGCCAGGCCCATCAACAGTCATCTCTCGCCTGTAGCTGCAAGGGCTCCAACAGAGGCTTGGTTGAGACAACACCAAGGAAAGGAGTGGTTAACTCTACTGCTTGAAGGAATGCTTAAAATGGGCCTCTGTGCTCAGAAGCTTCCAGCAATATGCAAATATTTCCTACTGATTTGGGTTGTGGCCAGTATATATAATAAACTTACTTTAGCAAGACAACCAGATAAAATGAGCAGAGCACTTTTTCAGTGAGCCTGGCAGAGGGTAGAGGAGAGAGGCAGGGCAGGACGGTGAGTGGGAGATGGGAAGGGGAGACAAAGAAGGGCTTCCAGAGCCAGGACTTTAGAGAAGAAGCCACAGGGAAGGAAGGGTTTATAATAAGGGGACACAGGCATACCTGATGGAGCCATGTCCAGAGGCACCAGGGTCCATGGGGCTGAGCTCCAGGGCAGGGGGAAGAACCTCGCACACCTCTGAGATGTGAAAGGTGTGGGACACACGTGAGAGCTGGAGAGGTGGGCTAAGTCAGGCAAGGCAAGAGAGTAAGGCCACCCACTCATAGCTGAGGGCTCCTGTAAAAGTCCTTGATAAGTCCTCTGGACACCCAGTGAGCCTGGTGAGTGACAAGGGCAGAGTTCAAGGGAAATGGGAAAAAGAACTGGCAGGAGCTCAGAGGGCATAAGAGGCAGGGAAAGCAGCTACGAAATTAAAGTATTTCACTAGCATGAAAACCTGCAAGTAGAAGTCACTGTCACTGTTTTAGTACTTTTCAAGGAAAAGCTGCTTTGAGTTGAAAATACGATTCTGAGCCGGGCTCGGTGGCTCAGTCTGTAATCCCAGCACTTTGGGAGACTGAGGTGAGAGGATTACCTGAGCCCGCGGGTTCGAGACCCACCTGGACAACTTGGCAAGATGTCATCCCTACAATAAATCAAAAAATTAGTTGGGCATGGTAGCTCACTCCTGTAGTTCCAGCTACTTGGAAGGCTGAGGCGGAAGGATCGCCGGATCCCAGCAAGTTGAGGCTGCGGTGGCCGGGAGTGGCCACTGCACTCCAGTCTGGGTGACAGAGTGAGACTCCAACTCAAAAAAAAAAAAAGAAAATACGATTCTGGTTCTGAGAAGAAGCACCCACGCCCTCGCCCTCCATCCCCAGCCTCCCCTTGCCTCGCTTCCTTCAGTGTCTGTGCAGGCAACACAAGCCACTCCTGGCTCCTGGACCACACCATGCTGTGGTCACACCTCACTGCCTCCTGTGTGTCATCTTCTCTTCCTGAAATTCTTTTACACACATTGTTCACGTGGCTGTCTCCTACTCATCCTTCAAAATGAAATCACATTACTGCCCTCTCTGTGCCGCCTTCCCTGTACTTCCCCTTCCACCCAAACTCTATCCCAGGAAAAAAATTAATCATGTCCTCTGTCCTATCTGTGACTCAGTACCGTACTTGTGGCGCTTACTGTGACTAACAGGTTTGCATGTTTATTTCCTCTTCTACACTGCAACTTTCCTCAGCAGCTTTATTCATGTTTAGAGCCTAAGTGCCTGGCCTGGTGCCTAACACAGGATAGACGAAAAAAGCTTCCTTCAGGCTTCTACGCAGCTTGAAAGAAATATTTTCAACGATCTACTTTTCCTCTGACACTATAATCATAAAATATATTCTGATTATTCAGGGATTTTCTCCATGTAACTGGCACCAGCAGAGAGGTTCCCAGAGTAACTTTAGCACCAATTGCTGGCAGACGAGTCATTCTAGTTCTATTTCCTGTCTTAAATAAATAGGTATGCTGCATTACATATCCATGTTCTGTGGGTTTATTTAACATGGATGAATTTTCCTAAAAATCTCGAGGCAGTCAACAAATGAATTTCTAGTTAGGATAAAAGTTACCAAGGCAATCAAGAGTTATCATCGTAAGATAACGGTTCAGATTTGAGGGGCCCTTAGAACCATGATGACCACTGTGTAAACGTACTTTGAAACCCACTGTGTGTATTAATGGCACAAACTCAAAAATCTGAAGTTAGAGAATGCCTACATGACTTGTGCAAAAGAAACACAAACACATTTTAATACCATCTGAACTCAGACAACTGAGGAGGCACATTTGTGGTGAAAAAAATATTAATAATCACATTACAAAATGACACCTAAAGCCAAATAGAAATAAGATGGGGGGGCAGCCCCTTCAGGTCCCCTCCCACTGTGGGAGCTTTTCTGTCCTCTCAATAAATCCTGCCTTCTCACTTAAAAAAAAAAGACAGGCATCATCTCTTTGGGTCATTTCTGATGCTGTTCTAATCTGTTACTTCAGTTGAGTGACAGTTAATTCTATCTAACATCCTTTCCTCTCCAAATAAAAATATAATCATTATCACATAAATACCTTGTATTTACTTCCTGATGATCTCTGAACATTCGGGCTGTAAGTCTCCCACAAAGACTATCTGCTCGTTTCACCAAAGCTCTGATTAATTCCTCACAGTGCATTTCAAACATTCCCAAACGAACAGTCTGCAACAGATTAAAAATTTAATCAACATGAAAAGAAACAAAAATGAATATAAGATTTTCACAATTTTGCCATTCTTATAATTTTGATCTTTTTGTGTGTGATCTAATAAGATTGAAATTTTTTAAAAAACACATAATTCAGGTAGGGCTTTCTGAATACTTATTTGTATTTTACAACAATCTTCTGGGTAGATATCCCTGAAGAGTTCATTACCTTGGAAGCCAATTCTATTTGACAGTAAAAGTTATAGAAACTTTGGAGAATTGAATTACTATATTGTAAAATAATGTACATTGTAAATGTTATATTTGCAATGCACAAAAAAATACATGTTTATGGTGGTAAATTTGGAAAAGGTAAAAAAGGACAAAAGAAGAAGAAAATTACAAATTACTAATATCCTACTAAGTAAAAGTAACCACATTTTGGTGTAACTATCATATTTTCCAAAGGATTTATAAGCACTCAGGCAAAAAAAAAAAATGTTCTTGGAAATTGGCAGGGGCAAATTATATAAAGAACTTAAAATTTGTCAGAGTTGGGGTACTGGAGTCTCAGCTACATAAGCACAAGGACTACGTCTGGTTTTGTCTAGCTCCTTATGCTCAGGGCTTATGACAATACTTGGAACATATTGTTGCAGGAATTTTTAACCACACTGTTAGCTTACATCCTGGAATTCTTGTCTCATAACCAAGAAAATTAAAGAGCACAGACACTGAAGAATGAGTGAAGGAGTTTATTAAGCAACAGAAAGCTTTCAAGTAAAGAGGAGGCCCAAATGGGTTACTGGCAGTGAGGGAGTGCTCTATGGTTTTCTCTCTCACTTCTAGGGGCGTTCTTCTCATTTGCATCTTATACCTCTCAACTTCCTAGCTGGGTTTTTTTTTGGTCTCAGCCTCTATTGCGTTTGTGTGTCCTTGTCCAAGTTACTTCAGCTTGATTATTACCCATAAGTATCACTGAAAAGCCCCCTGAGGAGGGGAGAAGGGTAAAACCACAATGCAAATGTCATGTTAATACAATTATAATAAGCTTAGGTCAAGTTTGGACATTTAGTTGAGATATTGTGCCTGCATCTGAATGGCAAAAAGTCCCTTTGAACAAAACATCCTGGCTTAAGAGGATATTCTTAACCATATTAACTATATTTTCATTTGCTAGTTACATAACAGTGGTGGTGCAGGGGTGTGCTCGCAGGGACGTTCTGGCAGGTGCACAGATGTTACTTCTCCTTGAGACCCTTCGTTTCTCTCTGCTTAGCCATCCTCTATCCTCTACTTACCTCCTTTCTCAGTATTATAAGCTCAATAAATATTTTTCCTGTTGACAGTAATGCGCTTGTGCTCTCACTGTACATTCCACATATACATCTGAATAACACTGGAAAAGACCATTGGGAACAAAGAACAACTGCACAAAGCTAGAGTCATTTACCTTTATAGATGTGTACTGTATTTCCTCTATTAGTTTCTGGTATTTTCGAATTTCATCTATTATTTTCTCATAACTATGATTTTTTACAAGGAAGTTATCAACATCTTGCTCAGCTTTTTTGGTAATTAAAAAGTCATACTTGTCATAGAGCCTGAGGTGCTCAGTGGGTGCCACGCTCTCTCTCATAATCACCTCCTTAATCTTTTCTTTGTGAGCATCCACAATTTCATTCAAAATTATGGGCTTCAAAGTTGTTGGTTTAGACTTACTTTCCTAAACAAAGGGGGAAAACAATATTTGTTTTAATACCTTAAATTAAAGTAATCATATCACTTATCTTTGTAACAATGCCAGTCTTATGATATTTTGTTTTTATTTACTTGGTCATTTTGATTTTCTAATTTCTAATCTATAGAAAGATATACAGTACAATCATAGCAGTATTTTCTATTTTTTAAAAAATTTTTATTTTAAAGATGTAGGGTACAATTCAGGGTTAGGTATACAAATGGTCATTGTGCAGGTAAAGTTTGGGTCTCACTTTGGTCTCAACTTCACCTAGTTTGAGATCAGGTACACTTATTGATGAAGTGTGCTCCCCTTGCCTCCCCTGGCAGTTTCCCATTATTGCCAATCCCTTTCTTGTAGTATTATGATAATTGTTCAGGGTCTGCTTATGAATGAGAACATGTGGGTACTCAGTTCTTTGTTTCTGTGACAGATCACTGAGTATTATAGATTCTAAATCCATCCAAGTTGCCGTGAAGTTCATAATTTTGCCCTTCTTTATGGCTACGTAATATTCCGTGTATATGTACCACATTTTTTTACAGTATACTCACAGCAGTATTTTAAAAACTAGGCTTCATGTGATATTTTGTTTTCTTTAAGGCTACCTAGTTGTGTTTTGTTTACCCGTGTGGATGAAAGAACAGTCACTTGAAAATACATACAAAATAAGATTTAGAATATAAAAATAGCAAAATATACATTTTAAGCTTTATTTTAAGAACACAAATTGCACATACTTAGGGGGTGCAATGTAGTGCTTTGATACAAACACTGAATAACAATAAAATCAGATAACTAGTAAGTTCATCACCTCAAACATGTATCATTTCTTAGAGGTAAAAGCATTCAAAATCCTTTCTTCTAGCTCTTTTGAGGAATAGGACACATTATTGTTAACTATAGACTCTCTGTTGTGTAATAGAACACCCTAACTTATTCCTTCTATTTGTATCTTTGTGTCCGTTAACCAACCTCTCCTCTCCCCACCTCCCTTCCTTCCCTCCCATCCCCTCCTCCCCTGTCTCTGGTGACCACCATTCTACTCTACCCCTCTAGGAGATCAATTTTTTAAGATATGACACATGAGTGAGATAATGCAGTGTTTATTTTTCTGTGTCTGGCTTATTCACTCAACATAGTGTCTCCCAGCATCATCCATGGTGTCACAAATGACAAAATTTCCCTATTTTTATAGCTGAATAATATTCCATTGTGTACATATACCACATTTTCTTTATCCATTTATCTTTTGCTGGACACAAGTTAATTTCATATTTGCAGTACTGCAGTAAATATAGGAGTGCACATATCTTACCAACATACTGATACTCCCTTTGGATTCATACCCAGAGTGGAATTGCTGGATCATATGGTAGTTCTATTTTTAGTATTTTGAGGACCCTCCATAGTGGCTGTACTAATTCACATTCCCACCAACAGCATGTAAGAGTTTCCTTTTCTCTACATCCTTACCACACTTGCTATCCTCTGTCTTTTTGATAACAGCTATTCAAGTGAGGTGATATCTCGAATAGTTTGGCTTGCATTTTCATGTCATCAGGGACCCTGAACATTATTTCATACACCTGCTGTTCATTTGTATGACTTCTTTTGGGAAATGACTTTTCAGGTCTTTGCCCATTTTTAACAGGATTATTTGTGGTTTTACTTTTGTGTTCCTTACATATTCTGGATATCAACCCTCTGACAGGTGTATAGTTTACTAATTTCTTGTCCTGTTCTGTGGGCTGTCTCTTTGTTCTTGATCACTTCCTTTGTACAGAAGCTTTTTAGTCTTATGTCATCCCATTTGTCAACTTTTGCTTTTGCTGTCTGTCCTTTTCAGGTCTTACCCAAAACTCTGTGTTTAGACCAGTGTCATAAAGTGTTTCCCTTGTTTTCTACTAGTAGCTTCATAGTTTGGAGGTCTTAAATTTAACTCTTTATAGTCCATTTTGAGTTGATTTTTATATATGGTGAGAGATAGGGGGTCTAGTTTCACTTTTCTGTATGTGGATATTTCATTTTCCCAGCACCATTTATTAAAGAGGCTATTGTGTACTCTTGGCAGCTTTGTCAAATATCAGTTATTATAGATGTATGGATTTGTTTCTAGGTTCTAACTACTGTTCCATTGATCTATGTGCTTGTGCCAGTGCCATGCTGTCTTGAGTATTACAGCTTTGTAATATATTTTGAAGTATATATTATAGGTATATACAGTGTGATACCCTCAGCTTTGCTTTTTTGCTCAGGATTGCTTTGGCTATTCAGAGTCCTTTGTAGTTCCAGGTGAATTTTAAGATTGTTTTTTTCTATTTCTGTGAAGAATGTCGTTGGTATTTTGATAGAGACTGCATTAAATCTGTAGATCACTTTGGGTAGTATAGATATTTTAGAAATATTGCCTCTTTCAATTCATGAGCACAGGAAAATCTACATTTTACTTATGTAACTGTATGTGGTGGCTTTATGAGGCAGTGTTCACTTCTCCCCGAGAACATCAGTGAATCCCACAGCCACTTCTCCCCTAAGCTCACAAGATGCTTGGCATCATCTTTTCTGATAATAACAATTTTAAAATAAAGCAATCTACTTAATGTACTGTGTACAATGCAAAATTATTTTACCTCATGTGACACTCATTAATATTCATTATAGGATGCTTCTTAAATTTATTAACAGCCTGTCTACTTTCTAAAGCCTATCCAAACAGAGTTAGATACCAGGGCTTCAGAACTTTATTAGAAAGTTTAATTTTGAGAAATAAGACAGACAAGTGGGACCTCATCAAATTGGCAAACTTCTGCAAAGCAAAGAAACCATCGAGAGAGCAAGGAGACAACATACAGAATGGGAAAAATATTTGCCAACTGTATATCTGATAAAGGCCTAACATCTAGAATCTACAAGGAACCCAAATGTGCTGAAAAGTAAAAAACAAACAGCTCCATTAAAAAGCGGGCAAAAGACATGAATAGACACTTCAGCCAACAGACACATGGAAAAGTGCTCAGCCTCCCTAATCATCAGAGAAATGCAAATCAAAACCACATTGAGATACCACCTAATACCAGTAAGAATGGTCATCACTAATAAAACAAGCAACAACAGATGCTGGTGAGGATGTGGAGAAAAAGGAACGCTTCTACACTGCTGGTGGGAATGCAAACTAGTGCAATCTCTTTGGAAGACAGTGTGGCAATTTCTGAAAGAACTAGAAATTGACCTTCCATATGACTCAGCAATTCCCCTTCTGGGAATATACCTGGAAGAACTCTAGTTATTCTACAAAAAAGATACCTGCACATGCATGTTTGTTGCAGCTCTATTCACAATAGCAAAAACATGGAACCAACCATGCTGCCCTTTGAAGCTGGACTGGACTTTAAAAAAGAGGTACATATACACAATGGAATATTATGCAGCCATAAAGAAGGACAAACATATGGACTTCACAGCAACTTGGATGGATTTAGAGTCTATCATACTCAGTGATCTATCACAGAAACAAAGAACAGAGTGCCATATGTTCTCACTCATAAACGGACCTTGAACAATTATCATAATACTATAAGAAAGGGATTGGCAGTAGTGGGAAATTGCCAGGGGGCAAGCGGGTAGGATTGGCAGTTGAGGGAAACTGCCAGGGGAGGGAGGGGCACACCTCATCAACAAAGTTACCTGTATAATGAACATTTGTATACCTAACCCTGAATTGTACTCCACATCTTTAAATTAAAAAAAGAAAGTTTAATTTTGATATGAAATCTAATCAGCTTCTGTTAAGAGAAATTATATTTTGCATAAGATACCTCAAGTGTTCTAGAGCTGATCAAATTAGATCATGAAATAGTAACATGCTTGGACAGAGTGCATTATCCCCAGCAGGTCAGCCTTCCATAAAAAAAAAAAAAAAAAAAAAAAAGGAGGAGGCATTTTAATTCACCTTCAGTTTCTATCAAAGGTTGTAATAAACAGCTATATGAATTCCACTTCTGTATTTGTTGTCAAAGATCACTGAGACTATGCTACTCAAGGTACTCCACATAGTACTTGTTTCCAAACTTTACTGATTACCAGAACCATCTAGGGATATTTTACCCTAGTACTGAATTCTGAGTACTGAATCTGCCATTGTGAATCTGCATCTCTGGGGACATCCCTGGGGGTAGTGGCCCCTGACATTTGTATTTTTAAAATATCTATCTCCAGGTGATGCTGGAACATGGGGTTTCAGAACCACCACACCATGTATAATTCCCCTATAAGGAATTGCTCTCAAAATCCAATACCAGAAAAAAACACTCTCTTCCTGAGAAGTCCAAATTAACTATTTTAATCATAATGAAAATTTGTCATATTTTACTCTTTATTTTAGAAACCTAGAATCTTAGAGTTGTATTTCATAACCATGAAGTCATAGCAACTGTATTCCTTTGGAGAATTATAATAGTTACTTTTCCTGGGTGATGGAGGTGGAGTGAGACTCCAACTCAAAAAAAAAAGTACTTTTCTTCACTAAGAGTTTTGTCTAATAATTCTTATCTTATTAACTTGTTATAGTTGTCTGTTTCATAAGTCACCTCAAATCATTCTTGAAAAAAAGGCAGGGTATAAATAGAATAGAAAAGAATACAATCAATGAATTGGAATTACACAAAAGTCACAGTTTCTTGTGAGACTTCTATTTATGGCAATATAAGGAATAGATAGCCACAAAACAACTACCCAGCTCAAAACACTTAACTATACTGGAAAAAGAAAGCTAAGTGTATCTTTTCTACTATATGACTAAGGCATTAAAAAATAAGGCAAAGTCTAAGGGGCCCAAACTAGAAAGCACGAGTGGAGAGGCCACTAAGTGTAGAAGTGGCCACTGCCGGGGGCCTCTGCTGGGCCCTGTGGTCTGCACTCTCTTCATTGACTCTCCAGCAAGGTGGGTGTGTGGGGAGGGTGAGGCTGCCTGGAACAGAGCCTCAAGCCTGAGCAAGGGAGGAAGTCATCACTGATATTCCCACACAGAGTCAAGAACACTGAAAGGTGACACAACCTTAGAATGCAGGTTCTGAGGAGACAAGACTTCAGAACACTGAAAGGTGACAGATCCCTTGAATAGGGGAGAAAAGTCAGGGAAATGTTCCCATTTTGCCTTGTTTCTCAGTGGAGGAAAAAAATAGTTGCCTCAAGAATTTATAACCACAAGCCTATTTCACACAGATTTGGGTAAGTATTCACATTGACGTGTTTTCCATGTAAACCTTAAGCAAGGAATCTTAGCAAGGAATCTTAACTAGCATTCCTAAAAAATAAAATAAAATAATAAAGAATTAGAAGCTCAATAAAAAGGATAATGTCCTCAAAATGGATAATTTCACAATCATAATGTTAGGTGAAACAGGCAAATCACAGATTACATACAAGATGCCGCTTCTTATACAAAGACATGGAAAAACTAAACAAATTGTTTAGGAATATGCAGACATATAGTTAGTCTATTTTAAAAAATTAAGAACAATCATTCCAAAATTCAGGAGAGTGATTCTTTTGCTGGAAGGTAGAAGGGCAGGGAGATTCAGGGGTGAGTGTGAAGCTGGCAGTAACATCCTGTTCTTTAAGATGGGCTATAGCTGCATAGCTATTAACTTTATTACTATTTAACATTTACACACTAGCCTCTTGTGCTCTTTTTATATGCGAAATACTTGCAAACTGTTCTTAAAATAGAAAAAGAAGAAGAAATCTACTGATTGGACTTATGACACTTGAAAACATTCTAAGTTAAAGAGTTTCAGACATGTTAATTTCATATGCTTGACTGCGTGACTCACTGCGAAAATGTCCTTGATAGGATCTATGAGCTGCAAGTGCAAAGACACAGAGAAGCTCACCATCTACAGGAGGTGTACAAGGAGTGATCCACTGGAGGATAATTCTACAGAGCTGGAAAAGCACAAGGGAGGTCGCCAGCTCACAGGAAACAGCATGAGAACTGCAGGAAACACTCCCTGACTACTTCAAACTTGATCATAACTTTAATTCTTTCACCTCAGAAAGTATTCAGCTAAGTCCAGTGGAAGACTAGGCTAGGGAAGTAGGTATATTTCAAGAGAAGTCAAAGGGGAAGTGGTATTTTTAAGCAAAACTTTCTTATAAGCCAGTGTTACTAGGCCATTTATATTCTTTGAAGCAGAGGATCCCTGTCTACACTTTTCGGAAGTTACATGAAGTGGCCACCATTACGTAAATTCAAGCAATCAGGATATTCTTGTTACTTACCCACTTGGAATATAATTTTGTCTCAACTCTTGGTACAAAACTGACAGCTTTAATCATGACATCATAAGCATTTATAAGGATATCTATATAGTCATTAAAATCAGGCTCAAACTTAATGGTGTCATTTTCAAGAATCAGCCTCATGATAAAACCTGGATGTTCAAAAGCTCTAACAGAATCCTGCAAAAAAGTTAAAAATTTTACACACAAATATATAAGAATGAGTTGTGACAGACTAAGGAGTACACCAGCCCGTTCAGATACATGGGAGCCCCCGCTTTCTCTCATGCCAAAATAGCTGAGCCAAGGAGGAGCTCTACTAAAAAGAGCAAGAATGGTTTTGAGCTAGGCTTGTTAGTATACAGTATTCATTGGTCCTACAGGTCAACCAGAGGGTGAAGGTCCCAGGCAAACAAAGGTGTGCACAGCAGCGTGGTTCTAGAATCATGCAAAAAATGACCCAAGAGAAGAACATTCTAATCCAAGGCCCTGCTCACTCAGAGATAGCCTTTCTTTCTCCTTCCAGAGATAGAAAAGGCTCCTCACAGTAACCTTCCCAGCCTTCATGATTCAAATTTTCCAATTATGGACTTTTCACTTACTTTCACTGATCCTCACCTAATGTGATGATAACCATATATTCTACACATGCAGACTGACACTTTTTTAAACAGATAAAGTGTAATAGGTCTAAAGATGTACCTTTTTCCTCTCTCTGGTAAAGATATTTTATCATTTTCCTTTTCCAAAAGAAGTGAAAATAAGTAAAAAAAAAAAAATAGTGCATGCATATTGGTGCAACTGATCTGTACTTACTGGGGGTTGTGCAATTAAGTTTGTGAAATCCTGCATGGAGACCAATGCGAGGTCCTGCAGCTGTAAAGTCATAAGTGTAGCAGCACAGTTGAAAAAAGACTCCAATTTGGCACTGCTGTCACCAGTTGGCAATTGTTTTTTTTTATTACCTTGGTAATAAATATTCTGTACTTCTGGAAACCACCTTGAAAGAACAAAAGACTTTTAAAAGTCAATACTTTCAGTGAATTACTCCTTTTATATTAAGCATTAACAGTAATTTCTGGACATCTAAAGGTCTTTACAGAGAGGTATATTGCTAAATGACATTACTTTTTGAAATGTAAGTGCTAAAATATTTTATTTCTAGAAAAAGAAATCTTATATTTTAGCCAATAGAAAATGACTCAGTGATGTGATACTGTGAGAAAGAGATAAATCTAATTCTTGGAACTATGATTCCTGTACTTTCTGAAGAAATATGATATTATTGGATATTACAAAATACTCCTCTCTGGTCTCCTAAATGTTCTCCAGGGAATGTATTTGTTAGTTTAAAGTTAAAATGTGAGTAACTGGTTAAATCAAGGGAGGGTTTTTACTATTTTCAACCTACTTGGTATTTCATGCTATCCTGTATGTTTCACAATGACTTGAAAACAAGATACAATCAATGAAATCATGTATTTTATGTTCTCATTCCACTTAATGTGATATCTTGAAAGAGTGTCCAATCTAAAACAAAATTTCAATTGTGTATGTTTCCTTGTAATAAAAGGTAACAGTGAAGTTTCATATATAAGTGCATCATGCTTACAGCAACAAGTGAAGTTTTCAACTTACAAAAGTATAGCCAGCATTACAGAATCGAGAAACACTGATTATCTTGTTTCACAAGATATAAATAGACTCTCTTTAAAAGAGAGTCAACATAATTCCAGGAATTGACTGAATGTTTCAAGGGAGAAATTTTAAGTTTTAAATATATTTATTCATCCCTTTAACAAGTAAGTATTGAGTGTCTACAACATATTAAGAACAGTGACATAGAAAATATATAAATATGGCAACATCCTTTCTCTCATAATAATGAGGGCAATATGTCATAGCAGAAAAAAGATGTGAAGCCAAAGGATAGAGACATAATTTTCCATATAAGTAATGGGGGAGGGCTTCATAGTGAAGGTGGCAATCTCACAAAAGAATGGACAGAAAAGAGAATGAAAAGGCCTTGGGAGAAGGATCTGAAATGGAAGAAGGAAGACTAAGAAAAGTTAAGCGGAGTAGGCAGGACTAATATATCTGATCAGTAAAAGAAAACACCAACAGAGTAAAAAGGCAACCTACAGAATGGGAGAAGATATTCAAACTATCAAACCACCAATCTAACAATAGATGGATGTGCAGAATAGATAAGGAATTCAAACAATAGTAAAACCACAAATTATTACATTATAGACAGTTAAATAATCTTCTCAGCAAAAAGACATACAAATGACCAACAGGTATATGAAAATTGTTCAACATCCCTAATCATCAGGAAAATGCAAATGAAAAGCACACTGAGATACAAGGTCTGACAATTAAGTTTGTGAACTTGCCACCTTGTGCTTATGCTGGCAGCATTGTACAAACAACTCAATAAGGTTTCATAATCTTGGTATATCAACATCTCACAGCTGTGTTCTTGTTGACATGTGGTGGTGTATTGCTGAATGGCGTTCATTATTGTTGTTGCATAGTTTTACGTGCCATCACAAGAATGTCAGAGCTTGAATTAGAGCAATGAACATTAAATTTCTTGTTAAACTTAGCAAGAGTGAAAATGAAACTTGCTAGCCCAAATTTATGGGGCTAATGCCATGAAGAAAACAGCAGTGTACAAATGGATTAAACGTTTTTCTGAGGGAGAGAAAGTGTCATTGATAGAGGTCAGGACAGTCAGTAACAAGCACAACTGATGAAAACATCGCAAAAACTTGTTGAATGGTGACTCAAAGTCATTGGCTAACTGTGAGAAGTACAGCAGACCAATTCAACATCATTAGAGAAACAGTTAGGAAAATCTTAACTGAAAATCTTGGCATGAGGAAGTTATGTGCAGAAATGGTTGTGCAGGAGCTCTTGCATCACAACAATACACCAGCTTACACAGCACTGTCTGTGAGGGATTTTTTAGCCAGTAAACAAATAACTATTAAAACACCCTCCCCACTCACCTGATCTGGCCCCCATGACCTTTTCTTTACCTAAAGATAAAGAACATATTGAAAGAAAGACATCGTGATGACATTCAGGACATCAGGGTAATACAATGACAGCTCTCATGGCCATTCCAGAAAAAGAGTTCCAAAATTACTTTGATGGGTGGTCTAGGTACTGGCATTGGTGCATAGCTTCCCAAGGGGAGTACTTTGAAGGTGACGGTAGTGATATTCAGCAATGAGGTATGTAGTACTTTTTCTAGAATGAGTTTGCGAACTTAATTGTCAGATCTCATATTATCTTACTTCAGTTCAAATGACTTTTATCAAAAAGAAAAAAGAAAAAATAGATGCTGGCAAGAATGTGAAGAAAGGGGAATTCTCATACACCGTTAGTGGAATTGATGCCTGCACTCCTTCACAATTGCCAAGATATAGAAACTGCCTAAGTGTCAATCAACAAATAAATGGATAAAGAAAGTGTGGTATATATACACACAATGGGCTAGTGAAATATTAGTCAGCCATAAAAAAGAAAGAAATCCTGTAATTTGCAGCAACATAAATGAGCCTAGAGCAAATCATTTTAAGTGGAATAAGTCAGGCACAAAAAGACAAATCTCATATGTTCTCACGCCCATAGTGTGTTATCAGAGAATAGTGGTTATCAGAGGCTTGGAGGGTAGGAGGGAGAGGAGAATGACGAGAGCTTGGATAATGAGCACAAAAATACAGTTAGATAGAATAAGTTCTAACATTTGGTAGCACAATAGAGTGACTATAGTTATCAATAATGTATTGTATATTTCAAAATAGCTTACAAGAGAAGATTTGGAATGTTTTCAACACAAAGGAGTGATTATTGTTTGAAGTAATGGATAACCTAACTACCCTGATTTGATCACTACACATCGTATGCATGTATCATGATGTCCCATAAATACATTTATCTATGTATGATGATTATGTATCAATTTTAAAAATTGCTAAGAAGGGACTAGAGCTCAGAAAACAAAACCATGAGGCAGCTGAGACAAATGAAATCATGAAATTGTCAAGAGACTATAAAGAAGAGAGGAAACAACAAAGACGTGGGGAACACCTATCTTTAGGGGCTAGTAAACATAAGTAGAGCCAGAATAAGAGATATCAAAGCAGAACCAGGGAAGCCAGAGGCACAGAAGGACAGGTTTCTAGAAGTCCAGGTGATAACCCGCATACTGCTGAGTCAAGGAAGATGAGGACTGAGAAAGGACATCTGAGTTTGAGGTAGATGTCAAAATCAACCATTTGCTAATTGTTTCTCCATTGTGGGTTGATGTTCTGTCTTTTAGTCATGAGGCTCACATTCTGGCTCACTATTTAAGGGATGGTCAGAGAGTTCTTCCTTTAGAATCAGTCGGAAGCATCAAGAGACATAGCTAATCAATCTACATTTCTCTGCAAAAGTTGTTCAGTAAGGTTTGTACTCTGCTCTGTACTCTGATACCCATTTTACTAAAATTTCCATGGTAATGTATTTCTGGGGGACAACTGGAAGTTACAGATCAAGATAAGGTATTTGTATTCTGTCCTTGTTAGGTCATTTTGCTTCTGTAATTAATTATGGGGTTTCATTATTCATCTCTCTTCTGTTTTTATGTTAGCTCGACACTAATATGAAATAAATGGTTAACGTTTTTCAAAACTATCAAACAAATAATTTGATTCTAACATACTGGAGAAGAAAAAAGATAAAGGAAATATTTAATCTTAAATTATCAAGATACTTTCTAAGTAATTTTAGGAGATCATGAAACTATGCCATAGGTTTCGTGTCCTCTGTTAATTTGAATTTGATCTAATTATAATGCCCTATTTATAATAACTTAATGACCCATGAGACAGTCTTCCTCTGCTGTTTCAGAGCATATTGTCAGTATCCACATTGTGAATTATCATATGTGGGTATTCCATTCTAAAGAGCCAATCTAAAGGATCAATCAATCCAATGGGATGCTTAATTACCATTTGATAAGTCTAATTTCCAGTGAGATTGTAAACTCATTTAAACAATATACTTTCCCCACCAAATCATTCCTTAAACTCTTCTGCATCCTCCATCCAAAAGCAAAATGAAAGGAAGTGCAGCACTTTGCATATATTAATAGAAGATGGCCAATAAACACATGGTGAGTAATTAGCAGATGACCATGTATTTAGCATGTATTAGCAGAGGTAGAAACCAGACATTTAGAAAAAGCCACCGCACATCAAGCTCACTTTATTTTCTGCACAGTCTATGTGGTATAGAACATTTGAATAAACATTACAGATTAAGTTAAAGATATTATATTAACTCATACAGAAATGACAAAAAATTGTTAAAATGAGATTTTCTAAAAGCTGTTTAAATGGAGTGCCCCACCAGTCACTTTTTTTTTAAATTGGAATCTCAGTCACATCTTTAAACTTATGTTTTCCCACATGAAATTTCCAAACTTTACATTTTAAGTAGAGTCTCTTTGGCAGATTCCATGTGTCTCATGATAATGTTCTGAAAACTTGACAGCTCTAATGCATCATGGCGATTGTGAAATTCTTCTATATCAATTAAACGTAATTTTCTGCAAGAGATAAAAATAAACAGTAATTTAAGAATGAAGTTTTGTGCATTCTGCATCCTTTTAAATAAGTTTGAGAAATTTAAGGGAATTGTGTTTTCATTAAGTTTTGCATATCGTATGCCATGTAAATCACCTTTTTCATATGATTAAAGGAAGGTTATGATGAAGTATATTACAGGGGCCCACCCTCCAAAAGATAATTCCAATTTTTTTGCCAACCCCCTACCCCCATATAGGATACACAATGGAATTTTATGTAGCTAGAAAACACGAGTGAGAAAAATCTCAATGTGCTGAATGGGACGGTCTCCAAGATGTGTTATTAAGTGAAAAAACTAAGTGCAGAACATTGCCTTAGTGTGTCGCTTTGAAAGTTACAAAAAGGAAGACTGGAAAAAGCAAAACATGTTCCTAAGATAGGAAAAAAATTCATGAAACAAGCAGGAAACATAGACGTTTAGAGCAGGATTTGTAGGTCAACTTGGTTTTGGTAAGAAGTGAGAGAAGAGTAGTTTTGAGAATCGGAAAACAAAGTCAGACGCTGACTGGATACTGAGTCCAGAATATTGGGACTGGACTGTTGGTCCTTGTGCCTGAAACCAGCGATGGAGCCATGGATCAGGCGGTCTCAGCCTGTGGAGAGCAGCAAATGGCAGGTCTGAGGCAGGAGGGACAAGTGACCGACAGAGAATGAGTCTGCAGAAATTTATTTCTGATTGGATGCCGCAGTAAGGGACAAGAAAAGTCAGAGAAGATCCTGAAGTCACAGCCTGGGGGACTTGGAGCTACTAATAGCGTCTAATAGAAGATAGAAATGAAGGAGTAATTTTTAATAGAAGATAGAAATGGAGGAGTAACTTTGGTAATGAAAGAACTCATCATCATAAAACTTTTTTTTTTTTTTTGAGTTGGAGTCTCACTCTGTCGCCCAGACTGGAGTGCTGCTCCCGGCCACCGCAGCCTCGACCTGCTGGGCTCCAGCGATCCTTCCACCTCAGCCTATAAAACTTTTAAAGAAACTTTTTCAAGCTGATGTATGTTGAGTAATATCCTTTTCCTTCACTCTTTCTAATGTCTTACCTCTGCATTTAGTGAGCTATTGCTCCTCCACTAGGTTATTTCAGGGACCATCCGAGAAAGTAGGAGCCATGTCTGGTAATATTTTCCCCATCTTCCTAACAACTCAGCCTATTAGCCAAGTGGGCAATGCTGTTAGCAGAGATTTCATTGGAAAGTTGTACTATAAAACCTTTCTGTCTCAAAACGATGGCCTGTGCCTAGAATTCTGCCTCAAATCAAACACTGAGAAATGAAGGACAGTTGGCCTGGTGGCTAACAGCAAAGTGAAATACAGAGCTCATGCCCCAGCAGCTACTTCTTACTAGGGCTGTTCACAGCACACACATTGTGTCCTGAATTACAGATACAACTTTAAAACAAACATATTGTTGAAAACGTTGACCAAGATGCATAAGAAGAGATCAGATTATGTGTAGTATGTACTATCATGCTATATTTTAAAAGTGTTTTGTTTAAAACATCATACTGCTCAATTGTTCAAATTAACACATTGCAAGAAGTCCTTTAGCAGTGATTATACCTACTTTGTGTATTATCAGAGTCATGTACTAAATGCATAGTAACTTGAGACGAATTTTAGCTCATGAAAGAAATACAAAGACATAGATTTGAAATGTTTTGTTTACTAACCAATATTTTAAATTGACCTTTCAGTAAAACTTTAAGGTGATTTTTTTAATAACACCACAATACCAATGCTAATATTACTTTTTCATTTTAGTTAATCTGCCAGAGAAAACTCTTAGATGAGTAAACCATGTATATAACAAAGACCCATAGCATTGTATTCAAAAGAGGGCTTATATGGAAAGCTGTTGGCTCAAAAAAAAGGGTCACAAGATTTTGATACACTGAGTCTTAATTACATGTGAGACTCCTCCACCCTACCACCTCTGGATACTCAGGGCTTCTTTCTTTCCAGAGAGGGAGCAATTTTTGTTTTCAGAGCAGTGAATTCTGTAAGCATTGAGTCCTACCTCTTTTCCTGTTTAAATTGTTACAGTTTACAATTTAAAGCAAAAACCAGTTTAAACTATCCATCTAATCCTAGTTATTACAAACTTTTTCTACTTCACAGTGAAGTTTCATAATGTATTGTGTTGCTATTGAACTTGGTTATATAAATTATTTTAAAAATTAGAATATCTTGTCTATTCCTGAATATTTAATTTTATGGAACATAATTTTTAATGATAAAATCTAGGAATATGATAGTTTTTGAGAAGGGACCAATTAACAAAAATATTAAATACCAAAAATCTTCATTCTTTTTTTTTCTTGAGTGAACAATTCTTATTGAAACCCTCAAAGATTAAAGAGGATCAAATGGTGAGTTTGGGTACAGTAACAGGAAATCTCACCTAACCGTACCATCATTCACAGGAAAGAACAAACCCAAACACAACAAAATTCAAATTCCATGTTATTGCTACAAGTGAATGTAAATAAACAAAGACATTGAGATTTTTCTCACTTTTATGTTTTCTAGATACATAAAATTCCATTGTGTGTCCTACATGGGGGGGAGTTGGCAAAAAAATTGGAATTACCTTTTGGAGGGTGGGCCCCTGTAGTACACTCAGAATTTGTTCCACTAAATCAAACTGTCAACCAAACTTTTTATCTGGAAGTTTTGAGAAGGTTGCATCATGATTTGTGGCAGAAACGTCCCAAGTTGTCCAAGTGGCAAACAGGTGACTGGTTCTTCCACCATAACAATGCATCTGACCACACACACTGAGTATTCAACAGTTTTTGACCAAAAACAATGTGATCCTGTGCCCCTATTCACCCAATCTTGCCCTCAAGCAACTTTTTTTATGTCCCCAGATGAAAAATTCCTCAAAGGGAAACAAAAAAACGGCATAAGCACTAAAAGGTATCAACATGAACAAGTTCAAAAACTGTTTTGAGCGGTGGAAAACGCATCTTGAGAAGTGTATTGCATCAAATGGAGAGTACTTTGACGGTGACAAGTTTAGACATACAAGAATAAATACACAATTTTTTAATAAATAAATTCTGGTTTTTTGGGGGTCCCCCCTCATAATTTATTCAACCAGTTCATGCTTAAGGGATGCCTGGTTGTTTCTCGTTTTTTACTCTGATAAGTAAATGCCTTCATAAAGAACCTTATTCTATATATTTCACTTCCTACATTCACAGGCGCATCTGTGGGCTCCTGCTCCACAAGTGAGAATGCTGGATTCAGGTGTAATTTTTAATTTTGATAGGTATTTCTTGGATCCTCTCAAAATAGGGCCCAGTTTTCAAGCCTTAGTCACAGAGTGTGTTATCAAAATTTTGGAACTTTGCCATATTTGGTGGGAAATGGTTTCTCAGTAAAGTTTTTATTTCTTGTATTATGAATTCGTTCAAGCATTTAAAAAATATGTTTAAGAGTGACTTAATTTGCATCCTGATTGCTGTACAGTAAATGAATCCATGGCATTCTGATCTAGTAATTTTTTCTTAGGTTCATCCTGATCAAATTTTAAAAAACTTGTTTATCTTTTAAAATGAGATTAACTTTTTTAGACACCTGCCCTTTACATGCAGCTTGAATCACAATTTCTACATTCTGTTGTGATCCTCATAGATACATTATTTTTCAAGAAAATATGTCAGTTGTGTAGGCTGGGATTACATTACAAATGCTATCTACGACATTAAATGACAAGAATTTCCACATTTCCATCTAGAAAGCATCTCACCAGGCCTCCACACTCATGCATCTTAGAGTCAGTCAGGTACAGGTTTGTATTAACATTCCCTGACCCACTGACTCAAAAAGAGATGTCCCATATTGTCAAGGTCTGGGCAAGTGGCTGTCACCAGAGTGAGAAGCCCTGTGTATATAATGCTGGCCACTCAGAAGACAGCACCTGAGACTGCCCACCCCACTCTTAATGCCCACATGGCATGTAAGAGTAAACTGGGTCCTTTGAAGTCAATACAGGAGTTGGCGGGGTCCGCTCTTCACCCCTAGCTTGCAGAGCTTCCGCTTCACGTGTCTGCATCATGGGTGCCTTGAGCTTTGCTTCAGCTGCTGCACTAACAGCTCTGCCACCGCAACTTCGGATACATCCACTGTTCAGTGTTCTCTTATTTCAGCTGTGTTACTTTCCTTCCCCTTCCCCTTTTGTCTCCTTGTCTCTTGACTCCTGACTGTCTAACAGAATAAGACTAGCCCTCTAAGGGCAATACTAGGTCACACTGTCCAGTGGAAAGCTAGTAGAATACAATTCCTACAATATGTAGTCTCAGGGCCAAAACCAGTGTTAAGGGTCCTAGCCTATTTTTTTAAGTCACCAGAGGTCAAGGAAGGTCGGGATAAATTTTAGAAAGCCAGTGTGATCTGATCACTTTATACAGGCCTTGGTTCTTTCAGCTAAGCAAGTTGGTTTGGAACTCCAGAGAGTTCCACAGTGTGGAGCTGGGAGTGAAGGGGGAAGGAAAAATTAAACTAGAATAGTTAGCCTGCATGGAGAACTTCCTGGAAAGATACTGGAATGAAACTTCAAACCCAAGCTTCCTCCAAAGGAGAATCACCCAAAATTTATAAAGAAATCCTGCCACACAGAGTAACTGACAGGGAATTCTGAATCTATGAAAAAAATTACAAACTCTTATTAAAATACATACATAAGATTAAATATTGAAATATATAAGATTTGAGAAAAATGCTTAATTTCATTACATGTCTATTTTCCAAAATTAATATGCAAATTTAATATATTACAATTAAAATACCTATAATTTTTTTTTTCTTTCTGTATATCTTTGCACTTTTATTTCTTTTCTTTTCAACTTTTTTTAAGAAACCAGGTCATACTATGTTGCCCAGGCTGGTCTTGAATTAGTGGACTCTAGGGATCCTCCTTTAGCCTCCCATGTAGCTGGGATGACAGCCATGTGCC